TTCTGAAGAAAAGAGTGGCAATTTACTTCTGAAAAATCGGCCATTGAAAACCCTCTGGAAAGTGGCCATCTAAGATGCTTCAATTGGTCCCAACCCACCTGGAGTAAGGGAGAATGAAGAACACCATGGACACAAGGAGAGTAGTAGCTCATGAGACAGAAAGGGCCACATAAACCAGAGACTTCATCAGCCTGAGACCAGAAGAACTAGATGGTGCCCAGCTACCAATGACTGCCCTGACAGGGAACACAACAGAGAGTCCCAGATGGAGCAGGAGAAAGGTGGGGTGCAGAATGCAAATTCTAGTAAAAAGACCAGACTTAATGGTCTGACTGAGACTGGAGAAACCCCAGAAAGCATGGCCCCTGGATTCTCTATCAGCCCAGAACTAAAACAATTTCTGAGGCCAACTCTTCAGACAGGGATTGGACTGGACTGTGGGACATAAAGTGACACTCATGAGGAGTGTGCCTCTTAGCTCAAGTAGATACAAGAGACTAAACGGGCAGCTTCTGTCTGGAGGTGAGATGGGAAGGCAGAGAGCATTAGGAGCTGGTTGAATGGACATGGGGAATCAGGGGTGGAAAGGAGGAGTGTGCTATCACAGTATGGGGAGAGCAATTAGAGTCACATAACAGTGTATGTATAAATTTTTGTATGGGAAAAAACAAACAAAAAAACCTGTGAAAAAATGTAACTAATGTCACCAAACAGTTTGTATAGAAATTGTCAAATGGGAACCTAATTTACTGTGTAAACTTTCACCAAAACACAATTAAAATGTTATTTTTTTTAAAAAAGAACTAGAAAAGAAAGAACTTTTGCAATGTGTGTAGTTGTAGATCTATAATAAGAATATTGAATAAACTTAAAATGACATAATATGAGGACGAACATAAAAAAAGAAAACCCTGTGGAGCACAATTCTACTCTGACACACATGAGATCTCTGTCAGTTGGAATTGACTCGATGGCAACTGGTTTGGTTTGGTTTTTTGGTGGGTTGTCCAAGTGGTCCAGATCTTTTTGGATGATATTATGACAGAAAGCAGAAGAGTTAACGAAGCCCTTGGGGAGAGGTGTAAGAGTGTATCGTTGTCTTCCCCATGTGAATGCAAAGTGTTTCTGAACTTGCATCCTCAGTAGAATAAAAATGAATGAATCCAACAAGTCAAAGGCTGCATCCCACGTACAGAGGCTGGATTAATCCACTCTGGCATATATTCCCCACCTGGCATGGGAAATGCTGTCAGGACCAGTTGGGGGGCCTTGTGGTGGTCTCCAGTCGTTCTCTAGAATCCAGCTAGGTTCTGCAGTAGTTAGACTGGCAAATTAAATGGAGATTTTATAGACAGACACACTGTCTTTTGAGTGTGCCACTATGGCCTCTGCCATGACCCTTGGGATGTAGTATTGTTATTTAAAATATTGGTCAGAAGGAATATTTGAGGTTTCCATGCAGCCTTCTCCAAAGAGGAGCTCTGGCAGTGAAGTGGTTAAGCGCTCGGCAGCTAACCTAAAGGTCAGCAGTTCAAATCCACCAGCTGCTCTGTGGGGGAAAGATGTGGCAGTCTGCTTCTGTAAAGATTTACAGTCTTGGAAACCTTATGGGCAGTTCTACTTTGTCATACAGGGTTGCTGTGAATTGGAATTGACTCAATGGCAATGGGTTTGTTTTTTTTTGCTTGGTTCTCCAAAGACACGATGGACTCATTGTAAGCTAGATTTTGTTTAGCATTATGCTTATTATCTGGATTCCAGAAAACTCCACTCCAATAGTGGAGCTGTGATGGCACTTCAAGTCACCAGGTACAAATGTCAGTGGTGACTCTATGTACAATAGTCCTTGAAATTCCTGGATGTAGCCCTTCCCCATCGTGCAGTTACCGAAGTACATCGTTGAAGGGCCGTTGAAGGGCAGCTGTGGGCATTATTATAGTAGCTACTAGTCATGGTGTTGTGGGTCCTTCCTCCTGGGATCCAGCCCCTTCTTCATTCACTAGGTTCTGGATCTGACAACAGGCTCAGACCTTCATCCTGAATAGGAGATTATGAATTTTTTTTTTGGAAACCTCCCTCAGGCCCTGTTTATCCATTATCTTTCTTTGATTGTATATAATGAACAGCACTTTCACTGGCTGCCCATCTGTTTTTCCCCTGAACACAAACATGTTGCCATTGAATCGATTCTGACTCATAGCAACCATATAGGACAGAGTAGAACTGCCCCAGAGGGTTTCCAAGGCTGTAAATCTTTATGAAAACAGACTGCCACATCTTTTGCCTGTGGAGCGGCTGGTGGGTTCAAATTGCTGACTTTTCAGTTAGCAGCCGAGTACCTAACCACTGCACCACCAGGGCTCCTTATTTTTTACTTAGGGACATGATGTCTTACTAACCAAGTCACAAAACCCCGAGGGTCAAACCCACCACAAATTTACTAAATCAGAAAATCTGAGGGTGGCGCCCAGCATTGTGTAACAAACACTCTAGGGGATTCTGATGTTTGCAATTTTTAGCTTAAACAATAAAAAACAGAATCAGAGCATATACTTTTCAAACTACGATGAAAATTTGGAATGTAAATAAATAACCAACAGTTCTTTTTTTTTTAATAGAGTCCCTGGGTGGTGCAAACGATTAAGTGCTCCACTACTAGCTGAAATGTTGGAGGTTCAAACCCATCCAGAGGCACCTTGGAAGACAGGCCTGGCGATCTGCTTCCGAAAGGTCACAGCCTTGAAAACCCTATGGGGAAGTTCTACCATCCTAACGGGGTTGCCAGAAATCGGAATCAACTCAGTGGCAACTAACAACAAAGTTTTTTAAAAGTACAAGAAAAAGATAAGTGAAGTAATAAAGAAAAAACACAATAAAAGGATATATTTAAAATAAATTAGCTATCACATTAAATTAATATGGTACTAAATATGCTCAAATGAGCTATACTGTTGGATGACCTCAAACACCCTTCATGAGTGATTTTACTCAGTGAATCGCCATGGAAAATTTTTAATTTCTATTCAAAGCACAACTAACAGTTCATGTGGGGGCAGGGACTTCCTGAGTTTTGCTTATGGGAAGCCAAGGCCTTACATTTGAAAGTCACCAGACACCATGACCAAGGCATTTAAGACCCCAAATGAGCTGAGATGTCCTTGGGAATCTGCAGTCCATATTTACTCAGAAAACCCCCAAGTCAGCAGCACCCCTTTAGGAGGAAGGGAGGGGAGGATAAAGATAGTACAAAGGGGTAACACCGTGAGTGATAATTATGTCGTTGCTCGGTGCCACTGAGTCGATTCTCTTAGCGACCCCATGTGACAGAGTAGAACAGCCTCATAGGGTTTTCGTGGCTGTAATTGTTACTAAAAGGAGCCCTGATGGTTCATTGCTTAAGTATTCGGCCACTAACTGAAAGATTGGCAGTTGGAACCCACACAGCGGCTCCACTGTCAAAAGACCTAGCAATCTGCTCCTGTAAAGATTACAGCCAAGAAAACTCTATGGGGCAGTTCTACTCTATCACATGGGGTTGCCATGAGTTGAAATTGACTCACTGGTATCCAGCAATTTTTATAGGAGCAGGTCACCAGGTCTTTCTCCCACAGAGCTGCTGGGTGGGTTCAACCACCAACCTTTTGTTAGCAGCCAAGCACTTAACTGGTTGTGCCACCAGGGCTCCTTGGTAATAATTATAACCACAGAGAAAATAATGAAAAGCAAACAAGATAGGATCAAGCAAAAATGAGTGTCAAGCAGTGAAAACCACATGAAGAAAGGGTTTTTTTTTTTTTTTTAAATAAATAAGCCTCAGTGCCTTAAATGGCCCAGTAGAATGTGGCCATTTGTATTTGGATGCTTCTCTCAGCTATAAAATGGGATATAAATGTCATGGGATGATGTTTTCAGTATTCTACTTCCTTAGAGGTGCAGGTAGTTCATGAATCAAGCCTTCAGATTTCTCACAAAGAATTATGTTCTTCATGGGTAGAGGTGTGCGGAACAAAGAAGGGTTTCAATAAATGTTTGTCGAGGTGCCCTGATGCAGGTTGGCAGCAAAAGTATATGAAAAACAAATGCAGAGGCAGAGAACCCTTCACCCCTCAAACACTCCCCAACCAAAAAAAAAAAAAAAAAGGTATGTAACAGTCTTGCAAGGGAAGTATGAAAGCATGTGTGAAGGCATTCCTTTTTGCTTTAACAATTTCTACATCTGCTTCTCCTTTTTTTTTTTTTTTAAAAAAAATATTCCTGAGATGGTCTTCCAGAGTAAACCAAGGCGAGACTTGTGGCTGAAGTTTTTTTTATACAGTTACACTAATCACTGGGTCTGTTTCCTGTATGAGAGTAAAGCCCAAGCTGGATCACATTCTTACATTACTCTTTAGATGACAATTAGTAAAAATCTGTTACAGAAGGTTTTCTCACTGCAATGACACGGGTTCTTCTTTGGTATGAATTGTCAAATGACGAGTCAGATTTTTCTTCTGGCTAACGAGTGACCTTGGTAGTTATATTTGGGAAGTCTTTTGCCAGTATGAGTTCTCTGAAGTTGACTGAGTTGCAATTATTATAGTAGCTACTTGTCATGATGTTGCAGGTTCCTTCCTCCTGGGATCCAGCCTCCTCTTCATTCAGTGGGTTCTGAACCTGACAATAGGCTTAGATCTATGTCCTGAATAGGAAATTATGACCTTTTATTGGGAACTGGTTCAGAACTTCTTTGCAAAAAGCCTTGCCACATATCTCTCCAGTATGAATCCTCTGAATTTCCATGAAGACTGACCTGCAGTTGAACGTTTTCTTACATCCACTGCATTCATAGGGCTTCTCTCCAGTATGACTCCTCATGTGCTGAGTTTAAGGAAGAGCTGTGGTAGAAGGCTTTCCCACATTCATTGTACTTCACAGGTTTTCACTGGTGTGGATCCTATTACAAGACAAAACAGGAACGGTGGGTGAAGGCCCTTCCACACTCAGTGCACTCACAGAGCTTCTCAAGAATGAGTCTGATGGTGCTGCATGAGGTGTGACCGGCGTCTGAAGGCCTTCCCACACTCAATGCACTTATATGGCATCTCCCCAGTGTGGATGACAGTGTGTTGGATGAGGTTGGCACTACGGTGAAAGGCCTTCCCACACTGGACGCACTCATAGGGCTTCTCTCCAGTGTGGATTCGGAGGTGCTGCGTGAGTTCGGAGCTGCATCTGAAGGCCTTTCCACACTTTGCACAATCATAGGGCTTTTCTCCAGTGTGGATGACATAGTGCTGAATTAAGTATTCCCGACTGCTGAAAGTTTTCTCACACTCTTTGCACTCAAAGGGTTTTTCGCCAGTGTGGGTCCTATTATGGCGGATAAAAGTGGAACGGTGAGTGAAGGCCATTCTACATTCACTGCACTCATAGGGCTTCTCTCCTGTGTGAATGGGATGATGCTGCATGAGGTATGACCTGCGTTTGAAGGCCTTCCCACACTCGACACACTTGTATGGCTTCTCCCCTGTGTGAATGAAGTAGTGCCGGATGAGGGTGGAACTCTGGCTAAAGACTTTCCCACACTCGTTGCATTCATAGGGCTTCATTCCAGTGTGAACCTGCTGGTGTCGAACAAGGTTCCATTTCCTGTTAAAACCTTTCCCGCATTCTTTGCATTCGTAGGGGTTCTTCCCTGCAGGGGTCATACGTGGCCTGTGTGAGTCAAGTTTGTGGAGAATGTCTCCTGGAGAGACTCGCTCCTGTAACGCCCTCGAGTGCAGACTCTCCTCTGTCAACCAACCGTCAAGTTCAATGCTCATTTTCCCAGGATGGGTCTGCTTGTGGAGGTTTGTGCCTGGCCTCATTTGTCCTTTCTGCGTTTCCTGATCCCTGGCTTGCCCCAACCTGGAGTCCTTTGGAGATCCTTGAGTCAGGCTTCTCTGGAGCAAATCTTCCTTGGACAAGATTGGCTTAGAAGCAGTGGGCTCTCTGGTCTGAAATTTTGCTCTATCACCTGAAGTAATTCAATATACAAAGGGGGCCTATTAGTGATGTGACATAGAAGAAACAAAATCACCAATGCAGTGGAAAAATGAGGATGAAAATACTGTCTCTGGTATCTGCTGTGTTTTGACATCTTTGAAACCCAGGTTACCAATTACTTTCTTTTATTGTCCTTGTACTGTTGACACTGTTAAAGGGAAAACCTGGAGGAGAGGCTGGGGCAGGGGATAGAAGACCTGGAGTAGAGACCCCACTTTACCACCCAAATTAAGGGAGGGAGGACAGAGTAATAATGACACTATATGTGGGTATTTGCTGTAAGAATTAATGCTTGTTGATGCTATGAGACTATAGGGAAGTGGTGCATAACCACATATGGGAGAGAAAGAGGTCATGGAAGACCTCCTAGAGGAGGTGATCCATGAACTGAGTCTTAATGAAGTCCTAATTGGAGATGCTAGATGGAAGTAAAAGGAGGCACTGAGTTGAGGTGGAAGGAGTAAACATGGGTAGACTTACCCTTAGAGACTACTTAAGAGTTAAAAGAAGAAAAGGCCACCAGATGCCTGGTGAAACCAACACTGAAGGGATGATTAGAGGAAGAAGACAGGTGAGCCTAGCAGAAGAGGGACAGAAGGACAAACAAGGCCAAATGGGGTAAAAGCTCAAGCATATTAAGATCTGACAAGCTTCTGCTGTGTCAAGAAGTCATATAGCGTGATGTTAAGAGTTGGCACTCTGGAGCCAGAATGCCTCTGTTCAAATCCTGCCTCTACCAACTAAGCTGACCTTGGATGAATTATTTTCTCCTCTAAGGCTCAACTTCCTCCTCTGGGAAACTAGGAGACCCTCAGTTTCTCAGGCTGTTGTGAGGGCTAAACGAGAAAATGCGTGTAAAGCACTCAGCACAGTTCTTGACACAGCATCAATGCTCACTAAATTGTGGGCCATCATCCTGTATTTATTCTCATTGTTGTATTGGGCAATTAGAATGACAACAGTCATGTCAGCACAGTTTCTCTGCTGTCGCTCTGAGAAATTTGATTACTGTGCTTTAAAGAGTAAAGTGGACAACACCAAGTGTTGAGGAGGATCTAGTGCAATAGTATATGGCGAGTGGGAGTGTGAAATGGTGCAGCCACTCTGAAAAAATATTTTTCAGTTTGTCCTAAAGCTGAGCATAGACCTACCCCATGACCCAGCAATTCTTGAGTATATAACCAACAGATTTAAGTGTTTATAGCCCCTAAATATTATGAACAAGAATATTCATAGCAGTGTCCTTCATAATATCCAAGCAATGTAAACATTATAACTGTTTATCAACAGGAGAATGAAAAAAATACATTGTGATATTTTCACACAATGTTATAGGACACAGTATACAGAATCAACCAATCTCATAGACATATGATGAGCAAAAGAAGAAGAGAAGAAGTACAGAAAAGAGAAAAATACCTTGGGGTTCCATTTATATACATTCAAGAATAGTCAAAATTAATCCACAGTGGTAATAGTCTAAATAGTGACTGCCATTGTAAGAGGACCTATTAACAAGGATGGGACCAGGAGTCTGTCAATGTGCCAGAAATATTCTAAATCTTGACCCAGGTAGAGGATTTGTTGTTGTTGTTAGTTGCTGTCGAGTTGATTCCAACTCACGGCGATCCCAAGTGTACAGAGTAGAACTGCTCCATAGCGTCTTCAAGGCTGTGACCTTTCAGAAGCAGATCGCCAGGCCTGTCTTCTGAGGTGCCTCTGGGTGTGTTTGAACTGCCCACCAAGTAGTTGAGTGCTTATCTGATTGTGCCACTATTTTTTAACACAAACTTTGTTATATGCTGAGACATTAGCAGCTAGGGAAGGGAAGATTTGGAACAATGTCTGAATGTGCGGGAGCTGGTGCAGGAGAAAGCTGAGGTAACAGATGTGGGGAGGCCTGTTAGAAATCTCTGACATGGTCCAAGCAAAAGATGATGAGAGCTTGGACTAGGGTGTTGGTGATGGAGTTGATGAAGGTGGTGGAGATGATGGATTCAAGAGACTCATACGATGTAAAATAGGCTGGACTTAGGGATGGATGGATTGTTAGCTTTGATGGAGATGGAGGTGTTGAGGGGCTATCTGCGGTTGTTTCCAGCCTTCTAATCTACTTTGATGACAGGACTAATCTCTGAACCAGGGCATGTGAGAGTAGCAGGCATGATCAGGAGTTTCTTCTTAGGCACGATGAGCTCGAGGTACCTTTGAGACACTTCAGTAAAGATGTGAGACTGAGGAGATGGGGGCTGTTTGGAACTGAGGGCTGGAGGTGGAGCCAGCCAAAGACACTCACTGGCTGGCTGAACACCTCCCATCAGACGGGAGAAACCATGATTTTGCGGTGATGCCAGTCTACTTGGTGAATGGCTCCAGCTGCACTCAGCAGCACAGATGTGGGCCACACAAGGCCAGAGGCCACCATGGTGTTTCTCAGGGCAAGGGGAGCAGCACAATATAGTACAAGGGACTGCTTTTGAGTACAGGTAGTCCTCAACTTACAACATATTTGATTTATGACAAACTGCACTTATGACTTAAATTGTTAGTAATATGTACTAAGTACAATGCTGCAGCTTGTAATTTGCTGATGTTGTAATTCTTAGATGTTCATTTGCAGATGTTCAAAGATCGGATTTATAAAGACACTGATAATAAAAGGCAATAATAATGAAAAAAATTAGGTATTTGACTTACGTCAGAACCGACTTACAACAGTCATCGGAACACAACTCCATCATAAAGTGGGGACTACGTGTATCTGATGGGCAAACAGGAGAATGGATGAATTGATGGAGAAGGTGGGAAAGAGTGGGATACAGAGCATAGTGTAGATTGTAATTTGAAGCGGAAGAAAGGCCTCTTTACCTCTGAGTCCAGAAAAGTCCAGAAAGAAATGTGTGATATTACTATTACTGATTATGATTAGTGTTATTCCATGGATAATACTAAGAGCTTGCTACTTCTGTGGACCCTTAGTATGGGTCAGGCACTATTTAAAACAGTTTGCTGCATCCTCTAATTACAGCTTCAAATAACGCAATAACATAGAAATTCTTATCAGTCTTATTTTTTAAGAGTATGCGGAGTATAGCACATTCATTTGCTCTTCTCCTTGGGCACGCAGCTAATCCACATTTCCCAGTCCTCTGCCCCCAGATCTGGCCAAACACCTAGTTCCTGTCAATGGAACGTGTGGAAGTGAAGTGTGTGTCCAACTGACTGTGACTTGTCCTCTTCCTTTCTTTTCTCCTCCATCAGCTGGATGATGCCAGAGACACCTTAACACTACAGGTTGACATTAGAAGGTACCCGGGTCTCTGAATAACTGTGTGGCACACAGCTCCCCATTAATGCATGCTGCACTTTGATGGGCGTGAGATACAAGCAGACCCCCAGGAAGGGCACCACAAGGAGTCTCACACAGAAGTTCAGAGGCCATGGTCCCTTGCTGTCTGAAGGCTGCCATGAGCCCACCTGACCAGCTTTTGGCTGCCCACCTGAACCGGTGCTTTGGGAGGGGCCTCTCTTCACTCTCCACAGTTCCTGCCCGTGCTCCAGTAGGTGGGTCAACTCTGGTTTGGGAACTGGATGTCCTGTTAATGGAGAAAGAAATAGGACAGAGGTGTTTTGATAAGAAGAATGAAACGTCTCAGTTCTGTCTGGGGCTTCATGACACGGACATCATGAACGAAGCTCCTCTCAACGCAGCAAACAAAATGCTGATTGGTGACCTGGGAACCAAAGGCACAAGCACCTTTCTTGGGTTCCAATGCTGTAGAGACAGTGCTGGCTGTCTACACAGCACCCATCCACTTGACCTCTGTCTTTCTGTCTTGGTTACCTAGTGCTGCTATAACAGAAATACCACAAGTGGGTGCCTTTAATAAACAGAAATTTATTGTTTCACAGTTAAGAAGGCTGGAAGTCTGCATTCAGGACACTGGCTCTAGGGAAAGGCTTTCTCTCTCTATTGGCACTGGGGGAAAGTCCTTGTCTCTTCAGCTCCTGTTCCTTGGTTGGTTCCTTGGTGATCTTCATGTGGCCTGGCATCTATTTTTCCCCATCTCTGCTTGCTTAATCTGCTCTTAAGAGATTGATTTAAGACACACCCTACACGAATAATGCCTCATTTACATAACAAAGAAAACTCATTCCAAAATGGGATTATAACCACAGATATCAAAACAAACAAACAAACAAACCCTTTGCCATTGAGTCGATTCCGACTCATAGTGACCCTACAGGACAGAGCAGAACTGCCCTGTAGAGTTTCCAAGGAGTGGCTGGTGGATTTGAACTGCTGACCTTTTGGTTAGCAGCCGAGCTCTTAACCACTATGCCAGCAGGGTTCCAACCACAGGTATAGGGGTTAAGAATTACAACATATTTTTGGGGGGTACCATTCAATCCACAACAACCTCCATTTGTTCAAGTACATACCCCTTTCACATGCAGCTGTGGGACACAGAGAAGATGAGCCCCTCCTTCCAGAAGGTGTTGTTGTTGTTGGGTCCGTCAAGGGGATTCCAACTCAGAGTGACCCATGTGAGAGAACAGAACTGCCCTATAGGGTTTTCTAGGTTGTAATCTTTATGGGAGCAGATCTTTCCCAATGAGCCACTGGGTGAGTTCGAACCACTGACCTTTCAGTTAGCTGAGCGCTTAACTACCACACAAAGGTATTTCCTAATTCATTTACATCACTGGTTCTCAAACACCCCTGCTTCACAAACACGTAGGGATGGATGTCCGATTCCAACCTCAAACTAAATGAAAGGCAATCTCTTGGGGTGAGCCATGGGAATCAGGAACTTTGAAAGCTCCCCAGGAGATTCTGGAGACCAGAGAGGCTTGAGAACCACTGGTCTAGATCAATCAGCGAGTGGCACTCCCACCATCAGTAGTCTGAAGGAGACAGGTGAACTGAGCTAGACACTCATTCTGAAAAGAAAGGTAGTCCAGTATGGGAGGTGAGGGCTAGGCAAGAGGCAGGCTGGCCCAGCTACTGCACTGCTCAGCATCCTGCGACCCCTGTGAGGGAGCCAACCTGAGGATAGGGTAGATACCTGGACCAGGGAGAGGAGCAGAGAACTCTGACGTCCCTGATGACATCACTGTGCTGCTGTGTCCCCCAAGCCAAGAGCCAGCCCCATGTCGGGGCTTCTCATCAGGTGAGGCAGTAAATTTCCTTCTAGGAAAGCATTAAAAGCTTGCAAGTGGCCATCCAAGGCACAACGATTGGTCTCTATTCTCCTGGAACAACAGAAGAAGGACAGTCAGGAACAGGAGGAGGAATTGGAATGTGTGGCTAATTGCCTCCACGAACAGCTGCCTCCTTTGCCATGAGACCAGAACTAGATGGTGCCCGGCTACCATTACTGAACATTTTAATCAAAGAATCCATAGAAGAATCCTGATCAAAAGGGGGAAACTGTGGAACAGAATTTAAAATTCTCATGGCATCCAGACTTTCTGGAGCCATTAGGGCTTAATGAATCCCTGAAACTACTGCCCTGAGATAATCTTTAAACCTTAAACCAAGAATATCCCCTGAAGTCTTCTTAAAACCAAACAACAGTTTAGCTTAACTAGCAAAGAATGTATGCCTTGAGCATTATGTTCTTTTCAGAACTATCTACATGGGATCAAAGTGATAACAGCAACTCAGAAGATTAGATAGGAACCTTAGAGGGTGGTAAGTATGTTAATTGTGGGGGAACAACTCAAAAAAGGAGAGTGAGAATGGTCCCACAACTTGAAGAATGTAATCAATGTCACTGAATTGTTCATGGAGAAACAGTTGAATTGGTGTAAGTTCTGCTGTGTATATTCTCAACAACAACAACAAATTTCTTTCCAGGAGAAACCAGTTTGGGTTGGTCTTCTATTACAAGCAGCAAAGCACATTTCAATCGATGGAGGGCATAAAAGACAGAAGGGCTGTATAGAAGTCTTGACTGGCAGATTCCTATCCCCTGCCCAGGGTTCATCCTGTTGTCACGCAGTAAATGCTCACTGGTGTCTGCTGGGTGCCTGGCACCTAGCTCAGTGATGGGTCATGGAAGAGCTGACTCAGATCTTCCTTCAGCTCTGTCAGGAGTCAAGCTCCCTGCTGCCTCAGGGCCTTTGCACATGCTGCTTCCTCCACTTGGAACTCTGCCCCTCACCTCCCCACTTTTAAAAGGGAATTTTGTATTACTCTGGTAAATGAGAAAACCAGTTTCACTTGCCACAAAAAGTTACCATCGAAACACAAGTGCAAATGGTTTGCACTTGGACTACTAATGGAAAGGTCAGCGGTTCAAACCCACCCAGCAGCACTACAGAAGATGGGCCTGGCAATCTGCTTACATAAAAATTAAAACCAAAAAAACCTATTGCTGTCTAGCCAATTCTGACTCATAGTGATCCTACAGGACAAAGTAGAACTGCCCCATAGGGTTTCCTAGGCTGTAATCTTTATGAAGATTTACAGAGATAAGGAGCCCTGGAGTTGCAGTGGTTAAAGCACTCAGCTGCTAACCAAAAAGTCGGCAGTTCAAACCCACCAAGCCGCTCAGTGGAAGAAAGATGTGGCAGTCTGCTTCTGTAAAGATTACAGCCTTGGAAACCCTATGTGGCAGTTCTACTCTGTCCTTTAGGGTCGCTATAAGTCGGAATCGGCTCGACAGCAGTGGGTTTAATCTTTACGGAAGCAGATTGCCATGTCTTTCTCCTGCAAAGCTGCTGATGGGTTTGAACTGTCAACCTTTCAGTTAGCAGCCAAGTGCTTAACTACTGTGCCACCAGAGCTCCTTACCTAAAGAGTACAACCAAGAAAACCCTATGGAGCAATTCTACTCTGTAACACATGGAGTCGCTGTGAGTTGGAATCAACTCAATGGCAATGGGCTCCGTTTTTTGTTTTTTGCATCGCTCTGGTAAATGAGAAAACCAGTTCCACTTGCCACAAGTGGAAGCTTACCATCAAAACACAACAATGGAATTGTAATAATAATATGACATCCCCGCGAGCTCATGCAGCTGAGAGTAGTGTCTGCTCCTGCTGCTGAAATGGGAAAAATCCACAGCTGGGGGGCATGGAACACTCGGCACTGAACCGAGATTTCTCTTGACAACAATGAGCATGCTGGATAGAGGAGGGACAGGGATCAGCTTTCTCAGGGTATCCTCCTGTGGCATCTGGTACCCCGTCTGTGCACCCTCTAACATCATCTCCTGTACCAATGGAGGAGTGTGGCCCAGGCCTTAGGAAACAAGGGCAGATGGTGCAGGCACCGGCCACCTTCTTACCTAGACTGTGTTGTTTAGGAAGATGACAGGGGGCACTGATGGCAGATGCCTCTGTGGGGTGGGGGGTTGCTGCCTGACTCACCCCATTCTCTGAGAACAGCCATCACCCACAGCCTTGGTAACTGGGCTGTGGGGACAATGCACCCAACCAGGCTGGGCCAATCTGCTTCTCTCTTGTGGACTCTAGAATGAGGACCACAGATGAAGGCCAGCCTGTGCTGAGCGCTGGGGTAAGGGTCTGTGTTTAGAAGGACCATGTTTCTTGCCCAACGACCCCTGGGGAAGACACTGGAGATCAGGTAGGAGATGGGACCAGAAGATTGCAGGAGCTATGGGGAGGAGGCAAGGCGGCTCCTATGGCCTTTGTGACTGGCTAGGACATCAAGAGGCTGCAGGTCCCTCACACAGGTGAGAGGTGAGGCCTTACCCAGTGAGATGAGGAGCCTGCAGGTCTCCAGCATCACCTCCCGGTACAGGGTCCTCTGGGCCAGGTCCAGCTGCCCCCACTCCTCCCGTGTGAAGGTCACGGCTACATCCTTGAACATCACGGACACCTGGAAAATCCAACAGGTAGGCATGTTGGCCTTGGGACTGCCTGCTGGGATTAGAGGTTGTTGCTCAGGCAGTGGGGAAGATGCAGAGAGACTTATGGCCGGAATCACCAGGCCCCTGAGGGCCTAGCTTTGTGCTGGGCTCCATGGTGAGCTAGATGCTACCTTTGGACATTATGCAGTTGTCTGAGAGAAAAGCCTTCAGAGGAGAAAGCCACTGGAGAAGGACACAAGGGTAGGACAACCCTGTGTAGACTGAGAGGCAGACAGTAAGTGTGCCAGGATGTCAGAGGAATGAGGGGAAATGATATTAATACCGGTAGTCCCTGACTTATGACAGGGTTCTGTCCCAAAGACTCCATTGTAAGTCAGTTCTAATGGAAGTCGAATACCTCTTTTTCTTTTTTTTTTAGTTTTCATTATTGCCTTTTATTATCAGTATCTTTATAAATCATAAATTTGAACATCTGACAATAATAAGATCAGCAAATTACACACTGCGACATTTTATGTAGTACATATTACTAACAATAAGATGTACCCAATAAAACCCGAAAACAGATGGTTGTAAATGCAGTTCATCCTAACTCGAACACGTCGTTAAGTCGGGGATTATCTGTACTTCCAGCAGTGATTAACAGCAGCACAGCTTAGCCCCACTCATCTTCACGGTATGTCTGCATGTGCTAAGGACTGTGGTCAAGGGATTAAAGGTCCCAGGTTCTGGCTTCAGACTCCAGGGTTGGCATCCAGCCTCTTTAAATCAATGCTGGCCTGCTGTGTGACCTTGGGGACGTCACTTCATTTCTCTGAGTCGTGGTTTCCACAGCAATACAATGATAGTGCCCACTTAGCCAGCTAAACTAAAGAGAAAATGTTCACAAAGCAAATGCTGGGATGCCTGGCACATTTAAATGCTTGGTGTGTTTTTGTGACTTTTACTAATCTTTCCACAGCCCATAAGTTAAATGCAATAATCACCTCCATGTCAGAGTCAGCAAGGATCCCTGGTGGCGCAGTAGTTAACTGCTCGGCTGCTAACCTAAAGGTCAGTGGTTCCAACCCATTAGCTGCTCTGTGGGAGAAAGATGTGGCAGTCTGCTCCTGTAAAGATTTACAGCCAAGAAAACCCTATGGGGCAGTTCTACTGTCCTGAAGGGTCACTATGAGTTGGAATTGACTTGAAGGCAACAGGTTTGGGTTTTCTTGGTCAGTCAGTGCCCTGAGGCTCAGGCAGCTCCAACAGTCACCCAGAGACTCAAGTCTAAGGGGCAAAGTGAGGATTTGAACATCTAGTGAAAGACCACACAATCTCACCCTCCTAGGACAAGTCTTGGGAAATGGTGGAGCCCCTAACAACCACACAGGCCCTCTCAAGCTTCCTTAAACAAAAATATCAGCTGCCTTTGTCTATGTGGTTCCATCCAGCTGAAATGTCCCCATGCTGCCCTCATTCCCAAACCCATCTGCTGAAGGGAGATCTGCCTGCCTGCGAAATTTTACTTCGGCGTCTCCCTCAGGCCTCTCTGGCTGACTGTAGGTGGAGTGTGATTAAGGACACAGACTCTGGTGGTTGACATCCTGGGTTTGAGTTTTCTGCTACTTAAGAGCTGTGTGACCCCGGGCAGGTAACTTAACCTCTCTGGGCCTCAAGTTCTTGTTCTGAAAAGCAGGAATGATAATAGAACCTAACTCTGAAGAGATGGTGATGAAATGAGATAATACATAATAATTACCCATCAGCCTATTTCAATCGCTCAATGAAGGACGGCTACATGGTTGTTTAGTTTTTGTTATTTTTCCTCTTTGCTCCCATAGCAATCTGGAACACTGTGACCAGCCCATGTCCCTCCTTTTGTAATCATGCCAGTTTACCTGCTGAAAGATGTGAGAAGATGGACAGGTTGGGGCAAGAGTTACTTCAGCTAGAACTAAAAAGACCAGGAAAAGAGTCTCCTAAGAGGTGATGTTGATGAATGGGAAGGCTGTGATGGGGTGGCCCTGAAGACATCTGGGGACAGTGTCTCAGACACAGGGAACTGCCAGGACAAAGGCTGCAAATTGGGAAAGAGCTAGGCATGTTGAGGAACTCCTTGGATGTAGAGGGCAAGGGAAGAATGGGAGGTGAGAAAGACACAGAGGTGGTTGGCTGGGGCAGCTCCAGTAGGGACCTGCAGGCCATGGTGGTGGGGGGCGGGGGTTGGGCTTATTCTAAATGTGATACGAGCCCCTGCAGGGCAGACATATTTGTCCACCAGCCATTTCCTGAGTACCTTTTACAGACTCAGCCTCTTGTAGGCCTGGGTATACAGCAGTGAACAGGTGCTCATCTTCCAGTGTTAGATATAGATCCTCAGCCAACAGCTAAGTAAATGAGCAAGGTAACGTCAGATGGCTCCAAGGATTCCAACGAGGGGAAAAAAAATAGAGAAGAATAGAGATTAGGGGTGATTTTAGATGGGGCAACCAGGGAAGGCCCCTTTGGGGAGAGGTCACAGGAGTTACTGAAGTGAAGGAAGGAACCACGCAGACAGTAAGTGAACAAATAAGACAAGTCCTGACCGTGATCAGGGCTATGATGATGAGGGTAAGAGGGTGACGTGCTAGAGAGTAACCCTGGGCCTGTTGTGTGTTTATGTCCAAAGGGACACCATGCTTCTGCACACTGTCATCTCCGAACACTTTAATGTTCTCACTTTTCATTTATATATCTATATATCTTAAATACATTCACTCCTGTCACTGAATTTGCTCTATGTGCAGTAAACTGATGGCAAGTGCAAAGATAAATCCAGGGGCCTTCCTCGCTCCCAGCCTGCCCTGCAGTCTTCTCTGACCTTGCAGAGAAACAATCCCAAAATGCACAACTCCCACCAGCTTCCATCCACAAGCTCTACTCCTCTATTCGTCCCAGTCCTTAGCTGTGTAGGAGCCACAGGTTAGGGAGGACCACAAACCAGACTGGGGTGAGCGCCTAAGATCACTGCATGCCCAGGGACGTACCTCCCTGGAAAGAGTCCACAGCGATGTTCCTGGGCCGTGCTAGGCCCTGAAGACACATATTGGATGTACCCTTTCCTGGTGCTCTCAAGGCAGGGGAGGGATGATTAATATTCTCATTTTGTTGTTGTGTGCAGTTGAGTCAATTCCAACTCAAAACAACCCATGTGACAGGGCAGAACTGCGCCCATAGAGTTTTCCATGTCTTTCTCCCGTGGAGTCGCTGGGTGGGTTCCAACTGCTGACCTTTCCGTTAGCAGCTGACCATTGTTGCCACCAGGGCTCCTGTATTCCCATTTTAGACCCGAGGAAACGAGGCCAAAGGTAGCAAGGGGAGAGCCCCGGAAAGGGGCACAGATGGATCCACACCGAAGTCTCAGAAGTCTGAAGTCAGCGCAGCCCCCTGCCCATAGTTCTGGGCAGACGGCGCGAGGTAAGGGGATTCTGAAAACCTACACTTCACCCGACCATACCGCATCCCACTGCTTCCCAGTTATAGGAACCTCCCCAGATGACCCCTGGCCTGGACCGCAGTACCCTGGGTTCGAAGTGACCTCACCCCAGAGCCTCCAGACCCAACCAGATGGGATAAGTAAGGCGAAGAGCCACAGGACACCGCCATCCCGCATATGGGGCGCTGGCATCATGTGGGTGGGGGTCCCAGCGGGTGACCGTCGGGGGACCCTCCACTCACCCGCGCCGGGCCCATCAACGCAGCTGCCGCCATGGGACCCTGCGAGAAGAGCCAGGCTGGGATAGAGGCGCCCGGGGGGATTCCTGGGGCTCAGCCAGACACTCCCTCGGGTCCTACAAGGGCGCAGAGGTGACTTCCATCCTTCTTACAGTCCTTCACAGCCCGGTAGCGGACACGCCCTCGACCCTCCCGGCGGTTGTGGACAGACCGGCTTGCAACAACTGAACGTTGTCTGATGCCGGAAGTCCCGCCCCAGCCAACGCTAGTCGCAGAAGAAAGGTTCCTCTCTTGGGCCGTCATTGGTCCAACGCTCGCCGCCGTCCCTCGGCACAGCCTTCTGGGTAATGTAGTTTTTGTTCTGCCTCCGGCAAGGCAACATTCTCCATGGCAACGGCCAAGTGGCACCAGAGTGACACTGGGAAGTTGTGTCCAGAGGATATAATGAAGGAAGAGGAACAGCGGACTTTTCTTAAAGGGAAGCACCTAGATTTCCGTGTCATGTTTTCTGTAAAAGAGATGCTCTCAATGGACCAAGTAGACGCAAGATACCGTAATGTCACTGAGACACAAAGTGCTCCACCCATGTTGTCAGTTGCCGTGGAGTCGATTCCACACATGGACACTCCATGTGTGCAGAGTAGAAACTGTTCCATAGGATTTTTAAGGCTGTGTCCTTTTGGAAGTAGATATCCAGGCCTTTCTTCCAAGGCACCTCTGGGTGGACTTTACACCCAGTAGTTGAGCGCTTAACCATTTGCACCACCCAGGGACTCAGGAGGCAAAAAACAAATGTAAGTGAGGAAACAGAAACCTTATAGAATTATGTCAAGTGAATGGGAGAAATAATTGAAAATAATATGGGTACTCTGCTACTAACAGAAAGGCGATCGGTGGTTCGAACCCACGCAGCTGCTTTGCAGTGGAAAGACCTGGCGATCTGCTCCTGTAAAGATTGTTGTTGTTAGGTGCTCTCAGTTGGCCATGACTCATAGCGACCTCGTGTATAACAGAAATGTTGCCAGGTCCTGCACCATCCTCACAACCGTTGCTATGTTTGAGCCCATTGTTGCAGCCACTGTGTCAATCCATCTCACTGAGGGTTTCTTTCGTTTTCATTGACCCTCTACCAAGCATGATGTCCTTCTCCAGAGACTGGTCCCTCCTAATAACATGTCCAAAGCCATCTTTGCTTCTAAGAAGCATTCTGGCTATACTGTCTTTGAGACTGATTTGTTCATTCTTCTGACAGTTCATAGTATATTCAATAGTCTTTGCCAACATCATAATTCAAATGTGTCGGTTCTTCTTGGAGGTTCCCTTTTCCTTGTCCAGCTTTTGCATGCATATGAGGTGATTGAAAAGACCATTGCTTGAGTCAGGTGCACCTTAGTCCGCAGAGTGATACTTTTGCTTTTTAACACTTTAAAGAGATCTTTTGCAGCAGATTTGCCCAATGCAATATGTAGATTGCAGCCTAGAAAACCCTACGGTCACACGGGTCGCTATGAGTTGAAATCGACTTGACAGCACCTAACAAAAACAACAGAGCTCATTATTGTTTTATTGAAAATATGGGAGAATGTGTTAAACAATACCAAATGGGTGCAAACATTATTAGAATTAATAGCATATTTTAGGATGCACATTCATGCTGCTTAAGTAATCAGAAATAAATATTTCTTGCCATAGGTAATATTCTCTTTAAAATTATAAAGGATATTATCTTATGTAAGGTAAATAAAATTTTACAAAGCAACACAAATTTTAAGGGGTACTGAAGCAAAATTAAGGACTGTTTAATATGTTAAGATCAGAATGAAATAACAGCTGAGACATACTGTAGACTGAGAGAGAAGATCTAATATTGCAAATAATTTATCAAGTAAGTTTCTTATTAAATGTAATGCCAATCAAATTGTAACCTATCTAAAATTCCCCAGTAGTTTCAAAATTTTAAAAATTAATGAAAATAAATAAATTTAAAACATGCAATGAAGAGAATTTGCCCTGACAAAGATAAAGTATACTTGCAATAGGCTTGACTGACATAGAAATCTGCAGTTAGGTTGGTGCAACAAACACACATACACACACACCCACATCCACATGAAGTCAATTACAATTATTGAGAAAATAATTTATTATGTCATATTAATTTTTCTGAGATTTAGTTGAAAAAATAGAGGTAAATTTTGACTACCCCAATTAGACATCTTTAAAAACAGGATTTAAAAATAAAGAGTGACAATTATCCCACATAAAATTATTTGCAGATATTTTTATAATCTTGGACAGGTAGAATCATTGCATCATATGGCACAGACTAGAGGATATTTTATTTCATAAAATAATAATAAAAGCAGAAATATACCACAAATTAAAATCGAACCAGAATCAAATGTTTAAATATGAAGAATATAAAAGAGAAAACTATTGATAATCACCTGAATATTGGTTCTAATCGGTTGGCTAAAAGACAAAAAAAAAAAAAAAAAAAAAAAAAGGCCGGCAC